TGTAATGTAATTCTTTCTTGCTAAGTCACATCCCTAAGTCAAAAGTGTGTGTAGCCTCTATTCTTCTTATTCTTATTGTTATTATTATTAATATTGTTATTTTTCTGTTGTTGTTGTTGTGTAATTAGCTCATTAATGAATTCATATGTGTATACATTTACATGGATGTCTCTAGTTGAAAACACACTGCAGACTTTTAACTGAGTTGGTCTTTAGACTAAAGTTCTTTTACGGTACTTCAGAATAAAGGGCTCTAACTGCTCACCATGTGGCCATGAGGGACCAGGGATGCAGCCTCACTTCCTGCTCTCAAATGCAGGGGTGTGGCTAAAATAAGGCACCGCCTACAGACTAAAACTCTGTGTTTCAGTGGTGACATGAAAGCGTGGGACAGCTTCTCTGAATAAAGCTTTTTATTTAAAAATTATCATCTTAATAATAATAATAATAATAATAATAATAATCTAAATATTTCTTTTGCAGGATTTTATAAAGATTTTTTTTATTTAAAAAATACAAAAAACTATTATCTTCACTTAGGGGTTGGGGTGAAATTAATACTTATTTTGTTGGGTTTTTTTCATTTTTTTAAAAGAGTATTATTTACATTTAGGGGTTATGGTGAAAATAATACTTTCTTGTTTTTTTCACACTGGGGTTGGTCGTTTAGTAAGGTCAAAGGTCAAATGGTAAGCTCAGTGACCTTGCTGTCAAACTGCAAACTGGAGAAGAGTCAAAAGGGGCCAGAACTGTCTAAACCAATCAGATCGAAGCACAAAGACTCTCAGCCAATCAGAAACAAGCTGGTCTGGTTAATTATCCGCTCAAAAGAGTAATGTAGTTTCTTCTTTTTCTCTCTCTCTCTCTTTTTGTTCTGTCTCTCTGTCCTCTATCTTTCTCTCTTCTGTCTCTCTCTCTCTCTCTCTGTTCTGTCTCTCTGTCTCTCTTTCTCTCTTCTGTCTCTCTCTCTCTCTCTCTGTTCTGTCTCTCTGTCTCTCTCTCTCTCTCTTCTGTCTCTCTCTCTCTGTTCTGTCTCTCTGTCTCTCTATCTTTCTCTCTTCTGTCTCTCTCTCTCTCTGTTCTGTCTCTCTGTCTCTCTCTCTCTTCTGTCTCTCTCTCTCTGCTCTGTCTCTCTATCTTTCTCTCTTCTGTCTCTCTCTCTCTGTTCTGTCTCTCTCTGTCTCTCTTCTTTCTTCTCTGTCTCTCTCTATCCCTCTCTCTTCTGTCTCTCTCTGTGTTCTGTCTCTCTGTCTCTCTGTCTCTCTTTCTCTGTTTCTTCTCTCTTCTGTCTCTCTCTGTCTCTCTCTTTTTCTCTATTCCCTCCTCTCTATCTCTCCATCCTCTGTCTCTGTCTCTCTCTCTGTCTCTTCTCTGTCTTTCTCCTCTTTTTTCTTTCTTCTCTCTCTCTGTCTCTCTATCATTCTGTCTCTTTCTTTCTGCATTTCTCTATATATATCATTCTCTCTATCTTTGCTGTCTCTTCTTTCTTTGCTGTTTACACTCTTCTTTGTCTCTTTCCCTCTCTATCACGCTCTCTGTCTTTGTCTACCACCCTATCTATTAGGGGTGGGGGGGGGTCGATTCTTAGATGCATCGCGATGCGGACGTGAACGATTCTGAATCGATTCACAAATGTCAAAAATCGATTTTCTAAATATTTAATTTATACCGTAATGTTGACGGAACGCAAAAGGCGGAACTTGGAAGTGGGTAAGTGCAGCGCCCGGACAGTCTGTGGGGCACATAACAAAACACAACTGGATGAGCGAGAAATCCGACCGGCTCCCTCTGCATTAAAGCCAGGTTAGGTCAGGAGTCACAACACAAATGATAAGAAGAGCCATTTTGACCTTTCAACAAAAATCAAACCACCTTGGAAGCCACAACATTTAATGTCCAGTATGTCTCAGTGTGTGCTGATGTCCCAGTATAGACTAAACAATATAAACGAAAACACAGACTTACCTTGCTCTGCTTTAAGCTTCGCCTACAGCCACTTTCCTCCCAACTCCGCCAGAAAACTTTTCCTCAAAAGTAGATCATCTTGTAAAATGTCACTCAACGTTCAACTGTTTTACGAGACTTAAGTTCGAATTTTCCCGTTCCACCTTAAATTCTGACTGAGGCGCCAAATGTAAATGCGGCACCATTTAAGGTGGACCAGATTTAACATACCAGGAAACCGACTGCGCTGCTTATAAATGCGAATAAGTCCATTCGTCTCCAAATGTTTGTCTTAAATCTCTCTTTGCCTGTTCGTTAGCTGCACGCCAGCCAGACTCTCTGCGTGGGTATGTGACCTGCAGTCTGCACGCCAACCTTCAGGGTTATAAGGTGGTGAATTAGCAGCGTTTAAGACCATCTAAAATTAAAACAGCGTTAGAACCTGGACGAGAGCCATACTATATGTAAGTTGTGTCACACTAAACTAAAATATTTTGGAAACGACAAACATGAGAAACCATATTACGTTTCCACCCGTTTTCCGTCCGGTTGTAGTTGCTGCCAACCAGAGGACCATTGAGCAAGTGATGTCAAAGTTTCCACCCAACTAAGAGGCGAATTACAAACTCGATCGCCACTTTTATTACCAAGGGTTTGCGTCTGTACTCAGTCTTTGAGAACCAGGGCTTTCACGCTATGTTGGACACTTTGGAGCCGGCGTCCAGTCTCGAAGACCCCACTCTCTCTACAACGAGAGCAAAACCGAAGTTACTGTTTCTCACTGTCCTCTCTTTGTTATTCTCTCTCTTTATCCTCTCTCTTTCTTGCTCTCCGTATTCTCTCTCTATCATTTTCTCTTTTCTTTCTTGTTATCTTTCTCTCTCTTTTTCTCTGTCCTCCTCTCTCTATTTCTTACTTTGTTTTTTCTCTTTTCTGTCTTTCTCTGTCTTCTGTCTCGCTTATTGTCTTTCTTCCTCTGTCTCTCTGCATCTCCTTCTCCCTCTCACACACGCAAACACAACAGACTTACAGTCATGATTGTTTTCTTCCGTTACACAAACAGAATGTTTTCTATCACACAGATATGCAACACACACCCACAGGCGGTCTCCTCGTTTGTCCTCTGTTAGCTGCGTGTTGTGTGTGTGTTCGTGTGTGTGTGTGTGTGTGTGTGTATCGAGATGACAGTAAACACCTGTACGCTCAGGCTACATTTCCACTGTAGCTGAAAAATCAATATTTACCCTACTGAGGCTTTCAGAGAGAGACACTTTCAGAGAGAGAGAGACTTTGAGAGAGAGAGAGACTTTCAGAGAGAGAGACATTCAGAGAGAGAGAGACTTTCAGAGAGAGAGACATTCAGAGAGAGAGAGACATTCAGAGAGAGAGAGACTTTCAAAGAGAAATAGAGACTTTCAGAGAGAGACACTTTCAGAAAGACAGTCTTGCAGAGATGCTTTGAGAGTGACACTCTTTGTGAGACACATTCAGAGACAGAGGCACTTTCTACACACACACACACACACATATACATACATATATATATATATATATATATATATATATATATATATATAAGACCAGACAGTAAAAACACACATATACACACATTTCTTACACTCTCTATATCTTTCTTCATCACTCTCTCTTTCTCTGTCTCTTTCTCTCATACACTCTGTCTCCATTGCTCTCTCTCTGATTCTTTCTCTTTTATCTCTCTCTCTCTCTCCCCTCTTTCTCTCTTATCTGTATCTCTACCTCTCTCTCTCTCGCTTACACACAGATTGTATGCAGAGTCTATTGTTTCACTGAAAAATGAGTTGGGGGAAAAAGTGCTGCTGCTTTTGGCACAGTCCCAACTGAAGTGTGTTTTGATTTAGCTAAAAGCCTCTGTCAGTCCAGCAGAGCACTGCCCTGTTCCTGTGTGTGTGTGTGTGTGTGTGTGTGTGTTTGTGTGTGTGTGTGTGTGTGTGTGTGAACTCACTGAACTCATCTCTGTAGCACTGTTTTGTTTTGTTTTTCTTTTTTTGGAGGGAACAGCATTATCGCTGCCAGACTAATTATGCTACAAAGACATACGGAAGTAAATAATAATGTAATAACAACAATAATAATATAATAATAACAAACTCAGGTCCACAAGACAGCAGAATTTATTAATAGTTGTAAATCTGTTTCTGTTTAAGGGTCATATTAGTGTTGCTTTTCTGTTCATGAGTGTTTCTGAACTTGAAGACTTTTCAAACATTGAAGTGTGAAGTGTTTCTGGAGGATGAATATATAAAGGGAAGCTAATGACCTGTGTCGTAGTCTGGGAAAAAAAAATGTACACAGCACCCCCCAACCCTCCCCACCCCCCCACCCCAAATGTTGTCCATCAGTCAAGGCCTGTTTGTCTGAAGTTTGCCTCTTTAGTTTTAGCACTGGAGCTACGAGGCTAATATTAGTGATACGTAATGGAAGCTTATTCACTCTCAGAAAAAAAACTATGAAACCGTCACTGGGGCAGTGCCCCTCTTGTCACTGGGGTGGGACCCTCAAGGGTCCATCTCAGTACCTTTACTCAGGGAACATAACTGAACCATAATCCACTGAAATGATATGTTCTAAGCTGTACTGACTCCACACACCCCGTCTCGTCTCCAGGACTTTATTTTACTGTTCTGTTTTAAATCATTCGGTTATGAAAAGGTACAAATACAAACTTTTCACCT